GTATTGTATTGTATTGTATTGGTCACATCACTATGAATGCCAGAACTAATACAGTATTGAATAATTTGTACATGAACACAATTGAAGCAGCAATGCCCAGCCACACCGGGCTTTGCTATAGATCAGGAAGGCAGCACCCCCAAAATAAACATGGTGAAGACTTCACATTTTGAGGGGTTCTGAGGATTCTTGGTGATTCCTCAAGTACTTATGTTAACCATTCATTCCCCCAAGGAAAAAAAAAGTAAACATAAGCAGAAATTTAGACTTGCTCTTTCTGGTGGCCACTGAAGAAATGTTGATGGGCTGCATTTTTTTTTTTTTTGGCACCCTCAACCTAGGATATTTGATGTCTTAAGAAATAATTGCTTTTTATAAACAGTTAAATAAGCTTGGGGGAGCTTATTTGGGAGAAAAATCAGCAGTTTGCGTGTCTCTGCTTTAGTAAACCCTTGGCAGATGGTTGGCTCATGTTGAATCCCGAATGGCTGTCTCTGGACAGCTCTTGAGTGCATCCAAAGAAGAAACTTTTTTTTTAATGGGGTTTGGAGATCTTACTTAACCCATCTGTCTTTTCCAGCGGTGATCATTGTCAGTCATGATGCTCGGCTTATCACGGAGACCAACTGCCATATGTGGGTGGTGGAGGACCAGACGGTCAATCAAATCGATGGCGACTTTGAAGATTACAAGCGTGAAGTGCTGGAAGCCTTGGGTGAAGTCCTGGTCAACCGACCAAAAGAATGAGGCCGTGAGAAGCGGGAGTCACCAGAACATGCACAGCCTAGTTTCCATTTTTCCAGTGGAAGCTCCGCCTTCTCAAAAAGCAGGGCGTTATTATTTATGTGACACGGAGGGACAGATCTGAACGTACGCAAGGAATTAAAAACTGATGATATTTTAAACTCTTCTTCCCTTTCTCTCCCACCCATATGGAAGTAAACATCTCAGAAGGTGATGGGTTGGGTGGGTGTCCCATCATGCCTCCCCCACCCCATCCCGAGCAGACATCTTGGAAGACTATTCTCACTTAACAAATCTCTCTCCTTTCCTTCCACTATTTTTAGGAATACAACATGTACACTTAATAAATTAAAATGTGGCCGTCACTTTTCTGCATGGAGTTCCCTGATTTTTTTTTTATAGTTTGGTCAATTCAGGTGGTCCTCGACTTACAACCACCATGGAGCCCAAAATTTTTGTTGCTAAGCGAGACAGTTAATTGAGTTTGGCTCCCATTTTATGGCCTTTCTTGCCACAGTTGTTAAGTGAATCACTGCCATTGTTAGGTTAGTAACACGGTTGTTGCTGTATTGAATCTGGCTTCCCCATTGACTTTGCTTGTCAGAAGGTTGCACAAGGTGATCACATAACCCCGGGACACAGCGACCATCATAAATATGAATCAATTGCCAAGCGTCTGAATTTTGACCATGAGAATGCTCGAACGGTCATAAGTGTGAAAAATGGTCATAAGTCACTTTTGCTATAGTGGCGAATATCTGTAACCCTAACACTCCCAGAATTGGTGTCATGTGTATTGTTCTGACCTAGGCTGCCCAAGAACATGCAGCAAACTCCTTGTCCCGACAAAAACCCCTTTTATCAATTTACTGTGAATTCTGCTCACTCACATCCAGTAAGGTCTTTCAAGGGAGGATTTACAGTCACAGACCTTATCTGGCTTGGAGAGCTGCCAGGTCAATATCTGCAAAAGTTGGCAAGGAGTCTCGGAGAGTCACGATCCAATTAAGCAAACTAATTGTCTCCTGCAAACTCCACTCCCCTTTCGTTCCTCTTTTATTTCCTCTGGGAGGGGCCATTCATCGTCCACCTGTGGCCTTACTCCCAAATCGACCCCTGTTCTTTAGCT